AGGTATAAGAGTCACAAAGAATCCTGAGCTCACGAGAAAGTGGGGACCCTCTGTGCCCAAGGCACAAACGTGCAATGGGTCATGAACGGGGGCCAGCGCTGCTCAGGCTGGGAGCATGCAGCAGCTCCCAGTGTGGAGGGGACGGTTCCACTTTAATGACCAGTAGAGACCCCGCAGAATTCCACAACCCCCAAAGGGCTGCCGCCTCGGGGAGTGAGTGTGCTAGAAAATCTCTGTCCCTCAGGGGAGACCTCCAGGAAGCTCGTCTGTCCCGCCTGGGCTCCGAACCGGATGGGAGCGTCTTCCCTGAGAAACGTTGCACTAATTAGACCTAAGTCACCTGTGTCACAAGGGTCACCGTATCGACGCCAGCAGCACTAGCGCAGCTTACAATGCGAACAAATATTTTCTATCACAAACTTTTTACAAATGTAGTTCCCGTAACAAACGAATCCTAATATCAGGGTTATTTATTGAAAGTCCCTGGAAACACTGAACAACCCTTCTGTGTTTTGCAAAGTGCCCTGCCCTTCTTAGTAAGTAGGTACACAGGGACCCTCAGTGGATGAAGACAAGACGCAGAATGAGAACAGCTTTAACTCAAATCTCCCGGCGGCTCCCTGAGCACATACCCTCCCAAAACACCCAGGGTACCTATCTCCCATGCCTTCAAGGTTCTTCATGAAGAACTATGCAGAAAGATAATATCTATCAAAAACCTACCAAATATATCGTACTTAACAGTGATATTTTAGAAGCCCTCCATTCAAAATCAAGAACGAGGTGGCCGCCCCCTTTCCCATTTATCCATCGTTGTGCTGGAGATGCTCGCCAGTGCGATAAGATAGGAAAGCGGAAAAGCACGTACGACTAGAAAGAAAGAGACAAAGTTCTTATTCCAGGCAGTAATGATTAGCTACGTAAAAACCCCCGCAAGAAACAACGAAAACGTACTAGATCATGGGAACAGAATTTAACAGGGTACGCAGAAAAGCGTCTGTATTCATGGACACCAGCAACGAAGAGAAACTTTGTGGTTTAAACATTACCATTTACTAGAGCAACAGAAGCTCATTTATTTCAGAGTCATGACTGTATGAAGAAAATCATAAAACTTTCTCAAAAGATAGTAAAGAATACCTGCATAAGCAGAGAGATGTTCAATGCCTCGCGTTAGACGCTGACGAAAGATTTGATAAGATGATACAAGAGCAAAGGACCAATAATAGACAAGACGAAGAAGAGGAAGGGGGAGGGGAGGG